ATTATCCACGGTAAGAATATTTACTGTACAGAGATTGACAGATGCCATAAATCAGGGTTTGATTACTTACTTATTGATTGTCTAGACTGACAACGATGAAAATACTACTAATGTAAATGTCATGTCTTTAGCTACTATATTGTGAATAGCTTAAAAAATGAAGATATACTCTTCCATTATTCCTTGAGCAAAGGAGTCACTATAGACATCATTGATATAAACAGCCAATACTCTGAAATACACCGTGAGCTTGTTGGTAATTTACCAACATACTGCTTGTTATGGCTCAATTGAATTTAGCTCTTAGGTAGGAAATAGACAATATAAGTTTATGCTATTCTGATTTAAGAAATAGTATTATTATGATATATGATCATTAAGGAAAAGGGATTGTTTTAGAAACCGTTCACTATAGCATACAATTTTAAAGTATATAGTTTGGGGATTCTAATAGTCTAGTTACAGATTAGAGATAGTAATTTGATTTAGAGTATGAAAGACGCTTAAAATTAGACCATCTTTGTTATAAATAGAAATGCTTTCTCTAGTGTATGCCAATCATTTAGATGTATAGTTTTTACTGGAAACAACACTCATTACCCAATAATAACATTGGAAAAATATAGAAATACAGGGTTTTGTTTTGTTTTTTCTTACATTGAGTTAAAGTTGTTGCTTCTTTTAATTTCTGCCAGTTGATTCTGGAGAAATGTAGACACTTAGAACTATGGAAGAAAAATGTCCCTTATGTAGAGCGGCTGGTCTCTGGTGTAACGTTTGGTGTGATGCTCCATTTCCACCCCTCTAGAGGGCAGGAAGCATCCCTCGGTTAGTTCTCCCAATCATGCATAGGATGGCCTTCCCCTCCATGCGAAGTGGTTCTTTTTAAAACTTCCTCATCACATTTTGGCTTTTCTTTAACCTTGTGTCTGAAATGGAAGACTTCAGATACTTCTTTGAGTAGATTTTACAGAAGTAAATCTTCTGTTAGATTTTTTTTTAATTCCAAACAGATCATTGTGTTTATTGTCTGTTGCCTTCATCTTGCTTTTCACTTCAGATTCTAGAAGTGTGCTACAAGCCGCAAAAATATACAAAGTAGGATTTCAGCTGATTATGACAAAGCTAATACCTGGAAGAAGCCAAAGGCCTTTCAGAGGTCAAGCTGAGGTTTAAGGAGCCTTGGTGATATTTGGCTTTTGATTATCAGCCATTTTCTGCTATGAGTTTCTTGTGAGCTGTTGTAGCTTTTTCATCATTTATTGGGCACCATTTCCCCTCTTCTTAGATAACCTTCTGCGCTAACAGCTATGCACAGGCAGAACCCCACCAGTTCAAGCCTCCCTGTAATTATCGTTATTGGCAGCATCCGTCCAGGTCCATCCGCAGACGAGGAAAGTACCTTATCAGAGTATTCTCTAAGAACAGACTTAAGCGTCCAGACTACCTGTTTGAGAAGGCCTGCCGTATGTGCCAATTAAGCTTAATTTCCTCCTTTCCCAAATCTTACCTCTGGTTCCAGATCTCCCTTTAACTATCACCAGAGGCATCTAGCTGTACACAGGTTGACTAGTGACTGAGCACACTTTCCTCCAACCTGCAGAAAAACGGAAGATACCTTGGCCAGATAGGAGCCACAGGAAAAAAGAAGGCAGTTTTATTTTCTCCCATTGACCTAGCAACTTACAGATTCTTAACATTTTCTACCAATCACGTTTGAGCACATAAGATCCCTCTTCTTAGATATTACCCGAATTTAGCCTTTAGTTAATTCATTTCCCCATTAGTCACTTCCCTTTTGGGTTGCAAATGATAATTAACAATTACTGCCCCTCTATGTGGTTCTTATCACCCCTCCGTTTGACCCTGGAAGCCTGGCTTTACACTGCCAAGGGATTACTGCTTGTAAGTGCATATATATACTGGGATTCCCTGGGCACGGGAGGATGGAGAAGAAGATTTGAAAGAATAAATGACTAGATTAAGAGCTCTGTGTGCTGAGATTTTTTTTTCCTGAAAATAGTCCTCACCGTTTGTAGTTCTCTCCTGAGCCCCTGGGATGTATAATATTAAGGCTGGTCCCTCTAATATTATACAAGAGAAATGATGCTAAATTATAATTTCATTGTTTTTTGTCTTGATTAATCCCATCAGTTTTGTGTCAGTTGGACATTTCTTTTGTACTCTTTGTTTATTGTGTGTATCTGACTGCCATATAAAATGTTAAATTGAAAGGACTGTGGGGATGAAAGTCCATACTGTTCAGTACCCTCTCCTTGTAAATTCACTTCTATTCATTATCATTACTTCTGTTATTTAATCAGTAGAAGCGAGTTACAAGTTATTTCAGCTAATCCACATCTGCCCATTTTTGCCCAGAAGTTTGCCAACGTATATACCGATAGGCGCTTTACTAATTGAAATGGACACACTGTTAATTATATCCCTTCAAGTAGGATGCATGTACCTTAGAAACTTAGACCTTTTTGAAATTCGACTCACTATTAAAGTCATAGGCCAGCAAAATGGCTCAGTGGGTAAAGGTAGTTGTTGCGAAGACTGACAGCCTGAGGTCAGTCCCCAGAATCTACATCATGGAAGGAAAGAATCAACTCTGACCTCCATGAGTACGCTGTGGTGTTCATGTGTGTATACACAGATATACACATAAATTTAAAAAATATATATTCTTCCACAATCAGAATAATAGAAAATCTATGAACAGTGTTGGACCAGATAGTAAGAGTTCAAAGTAGCAAAGGGGCTTCAGTTAGGTGCCTCACCAAGTAAGGGTGCTAGCTGCCACGCTTGACAACCAGATTCAAGTTCCAGGATTCGCATGATGCAAGGAGAGAACCGATTCCTGTCACGGTACCACATGGCACAACGGTGCGTGTGCACAAGTACATACATGCATGCACACGTGTGTGTGCAGACACAGATAAAATTAACTAAATAAGTACTAATAAATAGTAGAAGATGAGAGGCTAAATGTATAAGGAGGTTTCACTGGGGAGGCTGAAGCATGAGAATCTTGAATTCAAGGTCAGCCTTGGCTCTATACCAAGTTCTAGGTCAGCCTAGGATACACAGTGAGACTTTGTGTCATCTTACAAAACAAAAGCAACCCAGAAATAAGACCATCACTGGAGATACTTGATCATGGCATTTTTTTATGCTTAAAAACAAACAACAACAACAACAACAAAAACAAATCCTGCCATGCAAGAGTGTCATCAGTGATGCAAGAATATTGTGATCAGATGACTTTTTAGGAATCTAAGGCAGAGTGAACAGGAGTGACAGATTTTCCATCTTTCTTCATATCGCTCTCCTAAAATAATATGTTGTGGAATATTAGAGGGTATATATATATGGGTTTGTTATGTAGCCCTTTTTTCTCTTTGTCCTAAGACTGTCATACTTCACAGGACTAGTTTGAAAATTAAAAGAATAATCCAATGTGCCTAGCATGTTTCCTTGTATTTAGTGGCACTAGATAAAGGTTTATTTAATCTTTCCTAAATTTCTGTTAATCCTTTGACAAACCATGGTGGAGGTCGTCAGGGATTACTAGTGTGCATTGGCTCATCATAGTTTCCCCATGCTCCACTCTCCTTCTTCCTGCTTGGATCTATCTTGTTACTGCTGGAAGCAGAGAAAACTCAGAGTGGGTCACTAAAGTGACTAATTATAGGCTGGCTTTCCTTTGTCTGAAATGCTTTGCAGCAGGAGTGTTTCAAATTTCAGGGGGTTGTGGGGTTTTTGTTCTTTTGTTTTTTTATTCCTAGAATGTTGGTATATTGACTTACTGGCTGAACATTTGCTAATCCAGGAACAATTCTGAAAGCTCCAAAACCCAATATTGAGTGCTGACATGTCACTCCAAAAGGTTTGGGTTTTGAAATTTTGGTTTTTTAGTTTAGGGATGGTTGACTTAAACTTAAAAAAAATGTTTTTCTTCAACATTGTATTTTTGTTTTGTTGATGCAAAGGAATATGTATATTTACAAAGTTTGGTGTGAAACACACACACACACACACACACACACACACACACACACAAGCACAAATGTGTAATGTTTAGACCATGGTAATTCAGTACCTTTCTCTTTTCCCCTACCTTTTTTTCTTTTTTTCAGCAATATCATGATTCACAGGTATCATTTTCTAGGAAGAATTCCTCAATCAATTGCTTCATTGTATAGCTGTCACACTTGGCTCTGTATGTGCATGAGTGTGTGTGTGTGTGTGTGTGTGTGTGTGTGTGTGTGTGTGTGTGTGTGTGTGTGTTTATCCTGGCAGTTGTGGCGTTTTGAGATCCTCCTTGAAAATATTCTTCATAGCAGAAGTCTAAGCTTTGGAACATGGAGATGGCTATTCTTTATGAGGACAGAGTAGCCATCACTGTTCACACAATCTGTTTTTAAATTCAAGCTAAGACAAATTACTTTTTTAAAAGGAGAAAACTTGAAAGGTAGGGCAAGTGGTTTTGAAGATCCAAAGAAAGGGTGTGTTTTCTTCCTTTTTTTTTATTATTAGGAAATTTTCTATTCATTTTACATACCAACCACAGGTCCCCCTCCCCTCTCTCTTCCCACCCCCCAGCCTTCTCTCCAACCCACCCCCCAATCCCACTTCCCCCAAGGCAAGGCCTCCCATGGGGAGTCAGCAGAGCCTGATACACTCAGCTGAGGCAGGTCCAAACCCCTCCCCCTGCACCAAGGCTGTGCAAGGTGTCCCACTATAGGCAGTGGGCTCCAAAAAGCCCTCTCATGCACCAGGGATGGATCCTGATCCCACTGTCAGGGGGCCCTTTAAGCAGATCCAGCTACACAACTGTCTTGCCTATGCAGAGGGCCTAGTCCAGTCCCATGGAGGCTCCACAGCTTTTGGTCCACAGTTCATGAGTTCCTGCTAGTTTGGTTTGGTTCCTGCTAGTTTGTTTCCCCATCATGATCTTGATGCCCCTTGCTCATAGAATCCTTCTTCACTTTCTTGGACTGGACACCTGGAGCTCGGCTTGGTGCTTAGCTGTGGATCTCTGTATCTGCTTCCATCAGTTACTGAATGAAGGCTCTCTTAGTCCAATAGGCATTGGCGGACTCTCAAAAGGGTGTGTTTTGATAAAGTCTGACCTAATGGGGCTTTGGGGATCTACTTTCCTTAGTTACATGCATGATTGCATTAAGTATTTTATGACAGATTTTACTTTTTTTTTAATGTTGGTGATTGCTATGGAATAGATTAGTAGACCCTCTCTCTACCCATTCTTTAAATTTTTCTTGGTTCAATACATTATACTTAGTTTTTATTATTAAATCTTCCATTTTCTTTCAGATTGAAGTGGTGCCATGCAGCAAGAAGCAGAGAGATGCAGAGTTCGAACCAAAAGGCCTGACATGGCACTTTATGTACCCAAAGCTCGAAGGGGTACAGCACTTCTCAAGGCAGGTGACAAGGAAGAAAGCTGTCAGCCTCCTGCCTTTGTGGTGAAAGAGCAAAAGGAAGGTTGTCTTCCCCAGAAGATCTCTGGAAATAACCCTGAGTCTCAAAGACTAAGTGGCCGTTCTCATAGAGAGGAGTATGACTGTAAGGAAGGAAAGAGATCTTCATCAAAATTAAGGAAAGACAGGTGTCTTCAAAAAAAGAATAAAGATAAGGTTTGTGCTAAGAGAGGAAGTGAAGAATCCAAAGAAGCCTCATCTCAAGAAGCCCCCTGTGCTGGGATTCTATCTAATATACCTCTACAAAGACTTTTTGAACCAAAGGAAATGGAGTGTTTGGAAGTTCCATCTGCAGGAGTGACGGGACACCAGGAGGTGCTTCTATCGAAGTCTTACTCAGAAGTCAGTGGTGCTCAGGTTCTAAACAGATCATTCCAGAACATGGGGCTTTGTGCTTTTAGTGGAGAAACTTTTGTAAATAGAAAGTTGGAAAGCAGAATTGAAACAGAGGCCAAAGTTATGGAGCTAGTCTCCCAATTTCCTCAAGTTGTTACCGCTCTGTTGAAACCAGAGGGTATGGTTATACCAGTAACACTAAGTTCTGATCCTGCAACTGCACCACCCGGTGTGGAAACATCAGATGGAGTGTCAGAGCACAGTCCTGGGAGCAACTCTGCAGTTTCTGTTCCTGGAGGTCCAGGTGATGATGTTGAGACGACTTTTATAGACTTTGAAGTTGAGAGTGAGGATACAGTCAACACTACAGAGTCTGTCTTGGGTCAGAAAGGTGTAGATTCCATTCCTGAGACTATGGGTAACATGTCTCTTAAAATGGCTATAGTTAGCAAAGTAGAGAGCACAAATGTCATTATTGATCCAACAGTGACTAGAGAATGTAAGAGTGCCAACTCTGCTGATAAGCTATGTGTAAAGTATGAACCGTCTGATACAGCTGTCCTTGCTCGTGAAATAGACACCGATAATGGATTTAAGAACGCATGTGACACGCCCAGCAAGGCGTGTATGGAGGACGTTGCAGGTGCACTTGGTGATCATGTGACTGCAGGCAGCCCATTTGTAGTTGCGGTTAGAGAATCTGATGAGGGTAGTAGCAGTACAAGTAATTTCTCAGATTATCTAGAAATGAGTGCAGACGCAGCCCTTCTCGATGCGGCTGAAAGTGAGAATGACTCTGAAAACGTTAGCAGCCTAACTGCTTGCTCAGATGTTTATGCTGAGAGTATTGCATCTAGTTTTACAGAGTCAACAGGAAAGTTGATAGAGAGTGTGTCAGATTGTGCTTCCTCTTTACCCATAAAGAAGATTGCTGATAGTAATTGTACCACTTGTTTGGACTCTGAACTGAGTGTGTCAAATGGGACAGAAGTCCTTTTGGAGAGTGCCTTGGGCAGTGATCTGAACAGTACTGAGGAGATAACAGAGGCATTGCACGAACTAAGAACTGCTGAAGAGTTTAAAACAAAAGAGGAAGATGATTCAGAGAATGCAGTGTGTGGCCTATCGTTTTCTGATAGAGATTCATCTGTGGAAACATCCGGAGAGCTAAAAAAAACAGACACTTCCCACATTCAAGGAAGTATTGCTGTGGAGGAAAGCTGGGAATCTATGTTTAATGATGATGGTGACTGTGTAGATCCGCGTCTTCTCCAAGAGGTATGCTTAGTTGAAATTACTTGATATTTAGACAGTTTATAAACTTAGGAAATCTAGATTTGGAAGTATTTCTGATAGACATTGTATACATTTATTCACTTTCTCACATTCAATTTAAGTTCTTGCAATAGCAATAGCTTGACAGGATTATACATTGAGAAAAGAATATCTGGTAGATATGGAAAAGTTAAAACATACATAATCCTGCTATATCTGTAATTGCTAAATTCTAAGGGATGTTATACTGAATAGATTAAATATGAATTTAATGGATTCTGACTGCTCATTGAGGAAATACAGAGAGGAAACTTCAAAATGTTTTTCTGTGTTGACAACATGTATTTTTACATAAGCCATTTGGGGGAAGGAAATAATTTTATAACTTAATCATTCATTTTTACTTTTTAGTAAATTTTGGAATGTTGAAAACTGTAAAGGAAGTAGAGAAGAAAATGAAAGAATATGACTATTTTTTACAGAGTCAATACTGAGATCAATTGAATAAATGACTACTGATACATATAAGGACCTATAAGTGAATAATGATGTGCTGACGAGTTAGAATTCATAAATACAAAATGTGTGACTTGAATGCATTGTACAAATGCTTAAGCTCCAGTCATTTTCATATTTTAACATTTATTCTCTCTGCCATTTAAATTCTTTATTACAAATTAGAGCCACTGCTTTTAAATAGAGAACCATTTTCTCTCTCTTATTATGGGTTCAAATGGCCTTGGTCTGGAAGGGAGGAGTGGTTTGTTTATGAGCTCCCCAGGTAGTTATCCTTTAGGAAAGACATCAGGATTTCAGTCCTGTTCTGTCACTGACAACTGAAGCTGTCATTTACATTCATGTTCTTTCTAACAGACCATGTCTTCACCTGAAAGGTTTTGTTTGAGCCACCGAAGAGCCTTTTAAATGCTAAATGATGAGTTTCTTGTTTCTAAGAATTAAATCAGGTGTATAGAAAAATGCCACACACTGTGAAAGAGAGCCCACGACTGAAAAGAACAGCACCGTGGACAGAGCTTACTCTCTCCACTGCCAAGCAGTCCCCCTCATTCTTGGGTGTCTATACTGGGTCTCATTATTGCTATCATGAGTGTTTTCTGATGCCAAATCAGGAGACATCGTCAACAAACATTCCTTAGAATGACATACAGAAGGCAGAGTAGTTGTGAGTGAACATCCGTGAACCTTTTGAATGTACATCAGAATTGCATATATCCAGTGCATTTCTTCATTGCTTTCCTTCGTCAGATTCGCAGAGGCCCTAAGTGCTTCCTAGAGTATGATATTTGGACCAGCAGGATAAGTATCATCTGGGAACCTCTAAGAATTGCATATTCTTTAGTCCAACAACTTACCTATTAACTTTTTCAAGTGATTCTGAAACATGTAACATGCTGCAAGCCACGGAGAAATGTAATGGAACTCAGCTACTATCACAAAAGCTACTACTTGGAAAAGTCAAGGACTTTTCCGAAGGTCAAGCCATGGCTTTAAGAAGTCTTGGTGATATTTTAGCTTTTGTATATATATTAGCTAGTTCCTAAAATGATTTTCTTGTGTGCCTCCAAGAACTCCTAACAGTGTATTTATCTAAAATACCTATCAAGCATCCAAGGCCAAAAGGATCTCCTGAACTAAGGTAACACCCTGTGGAAACGACACCTGTTCCCTAGATCAGGTGGATAGCTTTATTTCATGTGCAATCTGAGACCCTCCTTTTCTATTACTAACATTATAGACTCCTAACTTCTTACCTAACCACTTCTAGGAATGTAGACTGAGCACACAAATTCTCTTTTTCGGATATACTGACCGACATTAGCTCTCAGTTTACCTTCTCCTTTAACCACTCCCCTTTTGGGTTGTAAAAGAAAGCCCAGTGGTCACTGCCTGAGGAAAATTCTTACCTGCCTTTATGACCCTGTAGGAATTCAAGCCTGGTGACCTGGCTGGAGGGGGAGGATTGCTATGGATTGGGTTTGTAACTGGATACCCTAGAGAACTAGGGGAGGAAGAACTGAGGGGTATAAGGAGATTCAGAGGAGGAATTTGAGAGAGAACTTGAGGGCGAGATGGAGAAAAAAAGAACAGAAGATCTAGATGGGTAAGAACTGGATTGAAGGGCTAGAAGAGAGTACTAGAGGAACAAGATGGAAGATGAAGAAGAGCCAGATGGGGAAGAACAAGATGAGAGAGAAGGAGATGGGAGAGGAGCTAAGATGGGAAGGAACTAGATGTATGAGAACCTAGATGGGACAGAGCTAAGATGAGAGAATTAAATTAGAACTCAGAGGGGACAGCAGATAAATGTAGAGAGAAATCAGGCAAGAAAGGAACTAGGCACGAGAGCAGAATAGAAACTGTGTAGAGAGAGAACTGACACAAAATAATAAAGTGTATGGACTAAGGAGTTTCATGTACGTAGATTCATTTCTTATCAAAGATTAAATTATCAGCTGGTTGTAGATTCTTCCCGGACCCTGGGAGGGGACTATTGAGGGGCTGGACCCCCATAGTTACCAATAGTAAAGTTTTACAATATTTGCCTTAAATGTCTGTCAGAATGTGACTGGGGAACTATTGTTAGTGGTAGTTATAAAATTGCTATCAAACAGGAGTTTGAGGCCCAACTCAGGTTAGGAAATACTAATAGAGGAGTTAGATGAATGGGGGCAGCTTTGTAAGGTTCAGATCATTGGGAAAGGATCTTAGTCGGAGAAAGGAAACTGTTATAGGAGTCGACAAAAGGCTGACTTGAGACTGGGAGAGAAAGAATAACTTCTTGCAAAAAGCATCTGTACACATGGTGGTGCTTGATAACTATCTACTGAAGGGTGGAAATGACCAGTTAGAATTGATGTACTGTCTGTTTTTAGGTTGGCCTCTATTCACTTTCAAGACACGTATGTTGTGAGGACTCAGATTCTTAGGGATTTCAATTTCATTTGTGTTTTGGAAGAGGGGATTCATGCATGCAACTTGGTCTTTCACATCCAGGTACAAAAGAATTTAGGCAGCAGTCAAGTGTTTTGAGAAGCATGGTAACAGTGAGAGGATGCTGGATGACTGAAGGCCGGGGATGCCGAGAAAATGAAGTATGTAGTGCTTTAAGCCGAAGAGAGCTAGTGCCTGTATGTCTTTGGCAGTACTTAAGGAGGGGTGGGGCTAGGTTAAGAGATGAGGATGGGTGCAAATAGAAGGAATCTGATGGGCTGTGGATGCAGTAGACCCAACTCTACCACAAATCTAATAATATAATAGCCCTTTGGTGACTTTTGCTCTTAGTTTATTATTTATATTACTCAAACATACTTAATTAAATGCAGAACTAGAGTGCTTTATCTACCTTGAAAGTGTTCCAACAGAAGGCTTTGGCTTTTTTCCCAGTTGGCCTATTTATTTGTTGATAAGGGCTAGACATAGAAGCATATCTAATGCTTCTAATAGGCAGGAAGATATGCTGTAAAGTAGGGTATGGCAAACATTGATAAGTTACATTTGAACCTCTAAAACTGGTCAAAAGAAAATAGAACATAGTGAAGTCATAAGAGCTCCTAGAACTGCAACCCTTGTTGCATTGTCAAAGATCACATTTCTATTTTCATTTTAATTAATTTGTTTATTTATTTATTTTTTCAAGACAAAGTCTCTCTGTGTAGCCCTGACTGCCCTGGAACTTGATCTGTAGATCAGGCTGGCCTCGAATTCAGAGATCAGCCTGCCTTTGCCTCCTGAGTGCTGGGATTAAAGATATGCACTACCTTTAATGGCCTGGCAACTACATTTCATCTTCTAAAGCCAGGATATTGGATGCCCAGAAATTTAAACTGGTAACCAATAAAGGAGAGAATGTTGGCATGACCTCTTTTATCTCTCTAGTAATTAACTATTTCCCAGGGAAAACAACAACAACAAAACATTTGCTGCCTCCTATTATGGCCAGCAAACTTATTGGTAGAAGGGCAGGTGAGGTACCAACAGTATAGCACTAACAATGTTGATGGATGTTGGCATTGGTCACCTTCATTGGCCATATCTGGTCTTTGAGTTTTTGCATAGAAATAAATAGGTAGTCTTTCATTTTTGTCTTTTTGTTTACAGAAAGCCACCAACCTTGTATAACCCTGAGAACTGGGGACCAAAGTAAGGAATTGCACCCACTTCCACTCACTATATTAATCAACATTCTGGCATCCTCTGTCTCCCTATAGTCTGCTACAAAAATGTTGTCTGTTTTTAAGTGGAGAAACCAAGTTAGAAAGAAAAAAAAACTTAGAGTTCAGCCCCTTAGAGCCTATATGAAATACAGAGGGAGGAAAACCCTTTATAGTGCTGCTTTCAGACCACTCTTTTAACTGGTTGGTATTGTATTCTCATCACTTAGCAGTTGAACAGCAAATATTGAACACTTGGAGTTTTGACATTGTTTTAGTTAGGATTTCTATTGCTGTGAAGAGACACCATGACCACAGCAACTCTTATAAAGAAAAACATTCAATGGAGGTGGCTGCCACAGTTCAGAGGTTCAGACCATTATCATCATGACAGGGAGCATGGCAACATGCAGGCATCCATGGTGCTGGCTACATCTTGATCAGAAGGCAGCAGGAAGTGTACTAACATTGAGAGGTATCTTAAGCATATATGAGACCTCAAAGCCCTCCACAGTGACACACTTCCTCCAACAAGACCATACCTACTCCACAAGGCCATACCTCCTAATAATGCCACTCCCTTTGGTGGCCATTTTCTTTCAAACCACCAGACACTAAATTGCAAATTGCAAGATATTTTTACTACTATGTTAAAAGCATTGTACTGTATGCTGGCTATGTTCTAAAATTGCTCATATTTTATTTAGAGAGAAAATATGTGATTATTTGATCACATAGCCACATAGCAATCTGAAGGGTAATTAATTTAAATCAATGACTAAAACAGCAACGCAAGATGTTATTTGATTGTCTGAATGACACACACTCTAA